AGACAAAATTGAGGCAAAAAGTTAAAGATTTGTAATAAGATACACGTGTATAAGTTATGAACAAAACAAAGATAGCTAAATCAATAACTCATCCTCTCATAGGAAAAAAATTCATAGATTGTTTGTTGATTACTCCTTTTGGAATTACAATGGTTGTGATATAAAATAACTCATTTTCTTGAATGAAAAAGGGACATATCTTAATTAAATATTTTCAAGGCTAATATCGTAAACACCAATTTTTCTATGAACAATAATACAAGAGACCTCGCAAGGATGCCACAAGTTCTTACATACAACATTATTGATCCCATCAACTAATCACATTATGTAATCAACCCCTCTTCATTTTATGATTGGTGAATTCAAATGTTTTTTTGCTAGATTATCTTAACTCAACTAATAATGGTGTGTGGTTGCATATGCTACTAACATCAAATTGATATGTGGATTAATTTGCATGCTTATAGGTCACCTATCAACTTGATAGGGTGCTAAATGTCGACGAGACAAATCTTTAACAAACGTAAACTCCACTATCCATTTGGCACTACCAACCTTTCGGGTGCTCGTTCATTATGCACTGCCCTCTTTCCAAAAACTAAGAAGTTATGAATTATAGTGGATGACTTCATTAAGCGCATAAAACGGAGTTCACATCACATATCTAAGATATGAAGTGATCAACAATTCATTAATTACGTACATGTTGTCTGTATTTCTTCTTTATTGATGGCATAAATGTTATGCTTTCTGTGATTTGGTTTTTGGAAGTTGGAGCTAACTCCTTGATGAAAGACCAGGGGCTATGAGCAAAATCGAGCCAAAGAAGATGAGACAGTTGTCAAACACATAGTGTATGATGACCATTGGATGTCTCATAATAAGTCTATTCACGGTAATCACCGGCGTATTAGAGATGAACTTCAACTTTGGTATGGTTTGGAGAAATCCGGTTTCGAAGTTCATCTAGGTGATATCTGATAGCACATTTAGTTGTGCATCACTTTTCCTTATTGTTTTATTCCACGATTAAAAATGTGTTGTCACACTTCTTAATTGCGTTAGAAAGCAAAATAGATTCAATTTAGTCATTGGGTTTGACTTGATTTGGTCGATTGCCTTCGGTCTCTCATCCATAAGATAAGTTGCTTCAACTTTATCCACACGAAAATATCACAAAAAATAAAGCAATTAAACATGTTTCTGTTTTCTATTTTTTTCTTCCTGTTGTGGTTGTGCCTCTGTTGTCACTACTCCAATATAACCACGAATTAGCAAAATGATACTAAACGGGGCTTTAGGAACTGAATACTTCTAGCGCTGATTCTTAATAGAACATACATAAGTAAAGTCAACTTTCATCATCCTAACATTATAGATATGTACCGTAGCTTTTGGCTTTTGCCTTGCTTTGTTAACATCATACAAATAAATCAATAAATTTTTAACAACATATATATAAACGTAAACTAGTCATGGACCCGGCCAGTTGGCCGGATTCATTCATCAATCACGTAAACATCAATAATCATTTGTATGTGGCATACACGTTTCTTTGGTAGTATAAGAAATTTTAAGTTATTCAAACACTCGAAACATCAAAATTGATTGACAGTATAAGAAAATTCAAATTATTAAAATACTTTAATCATTCAAAAGGATCGACATCATAGTATGTTATGGCATTCTAACTTACTAACCAATTAAAATCCTTTTACGAAAAAAAACTAAAGGGTAACCACATGTAAGGGAACCAATAACTAAAATCATTTGGAAATAACCCTTCTATTTACTACCTATCGCCAAAGATTACGGCACATTTTCTTTTCGACTTGTTTGCATTTCCTCCACCATGAGCAACATCGTTATCTTCTTCAGTAATAATTTCTTCATCTCCATTAACGACACATTTATCTTCATTGTCAATTCTCACTTCCTTCTTCTCTTGCATTTCAATAATATCTTCCTTGTTTTCCTTCATTTCATCGAGCATAAACTTTTTAATGATAAAATATTTAGAAATGGAAATGATATTTTCATTGGAGTGGAATATACATTGCCCAAGTTATGTACAATATCTTCGATTTGTTCATTCTCTGCATCACGGTAATGTAATGGCAGTCTAGAAGCGCTTTACCACCTAGTTGCTGAAGATTTTTCTAGTTTTTGGTGTTGTTTTTCGTTACCACCTGGTTTAGATGTCAAAGTTGAGATGCTATATCTTCAGGTTTGTTAATATATTTAAACAAATACTTGCTAGTCCTGAATGAAATAGTAAATTAATTATGACTCGAAACATACAAATAACATAATAATAGTAATAATAAAGTAACAAAAATCTATTTACATCTTACAACTTTATATGACTCTTCAAATTTTGTTTCACCATATTTCAAATTATATATTTCCTAAAAGGTTACAAAAATTTGGTAATTTGGTGATAATTTTATTCACTTGGCCTTGCAAGTTACATGTCTAAAATAAAAATAAGTGGAAAATCCAAAACAATAAACACACATGTCTCACACTGCTACTACAATTTCACAAAACTACTTTCCCTAACTAAACAACAATGACATAGTAATAACAGTATTAATAATAAAACGGTCCAAATCCTCAATGTTGCTAACGTATAACACCTTGATAGGCCATGAGAATATATATAGTAAATACTCTGTAACAATGATAATATGAACAACGAACAGAAAGCTGGAAAATAGTTAAGGAGAAAAGAGACACTAACAGGAGACCACAAAAATTGAAACAAATATATGAGTAATTTAATGATGATATAAGAAAAGGTCGAGAGAAGAATAACTAACATTGATTTGTTGAAAAATCCGACAGTGATATGTATATGAAATTGCAACAATAATTTCTTTTGTTAATGATATTTTGTTTTCTTGATGCCGATACATGTAAATCCGAAACCATAGTCAACAATAGTTATTTGACTGCAGAATTTCTTCAGAATATATGTAGAACATGTACACCTTTAGTTATACATGAAGCTTTAGGTCCTTAAATGCCACATGGACCATGAAACACATAATTGGTAAATGTTGCCTACGATTCATGGTTTGCTTTAGGATTTGGGATTTTAACATATATAATTGAATCAGTTTCCAAAAGATCATAGAATTTATTTTCTTCGGGTATGAAAATTGGAAAACTAATAAATGAGCATGAGGTAGTCCATGCTTTTTGAAATTCAATTGACATTGGATCTGCAATGAAAGAAATTATCAATAATAATCTTAATTGAAAAATAAAAAATATTTCATTTTGCATTCAATTTTTAATGATCGAATTGACTCATTATTTGATACCGTTGATGACTTCTCACGGGGAATGCTTCTTCTTCAAGACATAAAACTTCAAAAAAGAATCTTAGATTAGCCTTCAGCAGCCAATGCAAGCAAGTCCTGAGCAAAGCAAACCTTAAAAAGAAAAACAAAGGGTTATGTCTATTTTTTTAATCCAAATCATTTTCAGATACTTTTATATTATCCAAACTCATCGAAATACTAAGAATTAGCCAAATGTTAACTTTCATTTAGCAATTTTGTTAGTAATATTGACTTGACAACATGATACTGACTTGAAAGAGACACGTGAAGGTTAACATTCAAAATTTTTAGTATTTTAACTAAGAAAAGAGTTAAAAAAATTATTAACCATAACGTAAAATGGCTAATATTTTGATGCATTATAAAAGATTTGTCTAATTAATAAAATTTTAATAGGTTTAGATAATATAAAAGAATCTGAAAATTATTTGGATAAAAAATAGACACGAAAAAACAAATAATGAAAATTTTATTACCATTCGAAGTTAGGTTGATTGCATTGCCCAGCAAGATATCACTAATTACATATGACCCTGAAGTGGAAACACAACCATATTGTGTATAGATATTATATGTGTTTGCTTCATCGTACATTCACTGCAACACCTGTATACAGCAACTCAGTAAAAGAATTCCTATCGTTGGGTAAATAAGAAAAAAGTCATCAATGTTTGATAATTATGTCCCCATGATCACTAATTCGATACATCCAAACTATTCTGAATCCTAACAATACTCCTAATTTAGGAGCTGCAATGGGCTTTGGGGGAGGGCCCATCCGTTCTCTACCGGCTAAGTAATAAAAAATTGATTCACGGCCCAGTTGAATGTTACAGATAATTTTCCCAAGCTATCCCTCCGTGAACTGCGCACAGTGTAGGAAAAGTGAGGTTAAAGGGGTTCCGGCCAAGAATCTCTTTATAGTATTGTTAGAATTTATGCAAACCCATTCCGTGTTTCGTGAGTAGACTGCGCCTCGGCCCAGCGAATTGGAATGGTCGGGCCGAAAAGAAGTTGGATAGGAAAGTACAATGGCTGGATCAAATGGTTGTTAGAACCGGCCCAAACACAAAGACGAATTGCATTGTGCTATATTTTTGCGAATATAAAAGGAAAAAGAGATTGGTCAATTTTTAAATTTTAATATGTGGATTATACGCGGTACATTTCGATCCAAATATAATTCGATTCAATATGATTATTATATGAATTAGAATGCGATCATTGTCATTCAAAATTCCATTATTTTCATTGGCAATGGCAAGTACCAAAATTAGTATCAAATTACAAATATCAATGAAATGGAGGAAAAAATTGTTTTAATTCAACGAGAAAAAAAATTTGTTTTACAAGTTTAAATCATTTCCCCCAATATGGCGCCAAAAGCAGTAAAAGTAAACGGAAATGCGCGCCAAACCGGGCCCGCTTCCTCTCTCTTCCCCTGGTTTCCCGGGCGGGCCCCACCATTTTCCTCCTACTTATTATCTCCACATTTTTTCAAATTTAAAAGTGAAGATCCCATTCACTGCCAGCTGGCTTCCCAACAGGCGCGTCCCAGAGCTCTACTCTCCTCCAAATTCCTGGCGCCAAATTCAAAACGCTTCCCTCGAAAATTAAATTCCTCATTAAAAAAAAAACATTATATATAAAAAATCCATTTTCCCGTCCTGCCTAACTTCCAAAATACGCCTCCAGCCTTATCCCCAGTTCCCCACATATATAAAACCCTAGCCCCCATTTCTCCATCCCAAAGCGCGCCTTAAACCTGTTCGACGAAATTCCCGTGAGAGAGTTCAAAACCCAGGGGGAGGCTAGAGAGTGGAGGAGAGAAAAAGATGTATGTCGTGAAGAGAGACGGGAGGCAGGAGGCCGTCCACTTCGACAAGATCACCGCCAGGCTGAAGAAGCTCAGCTATGGCCTCAGCATCGACCACTGCGACCCTGTACTGGTTGCGCAGAAGGTGTGCGCGGGTGTTTACAAGGGCGTCACCACCAGCCAGCTTGACGAGCTGGCCGCGGAGACTGCCGCCGCCATGACCGCTAACCATCCTGATTACGCCTCCGTGAGTTTTTAGTTTAGTCCATGCTGGGATGACTGCCGTTTTTTGCGTTTTGGATTGGATTGTGTATGATTGTGTTTTGGGTTTTCTGGTGTGGCAGTTGGCTGCGAGGATTGCTGTGTCGAATTTGCATAAGAACACGATGAAGTCGTTCTCTGAGACGTAAGATTGTGTGATGCGTATGGTTAATTTTGATTGGTTTACTGTGTAATTGGGTACAGAATTTGGGATTTTAATTTTATGATTTCGTGATGATGCAGTGTGAAAGTGATGTACCATCATTTCAATGAGAGATCTGGGTTGAAGGCTCCTTTGATTGCTGATGATATTTATGAGATCATTATGCAGGTATAGATTGAGTTCAATTTTTGACTTGGTTTTGTTTGAATTTTGTTTTAGTTTGATAAAGATTGAGAATCTTAATTGCACTTTAGGATCAGCTTAATCCTTAATGTACTTGTTGATTTAGTAAGGCAAATGGGTTATCATCTTGCTAGAAGATGTCATAGTAAAAAGTGGTTCCTATTGCACAGTGTTGGGTCTGGACACGAATCGTTAAGAAAGTCAGTCTCTTGTTTTTGTGAAAGATAACAACCTTGTGCGATGCCATTTAGGTACCAAAAGTATAGTTTCTTGAATCTAGTATTTAGTTTGTGATTTATAGTTGCCAGGGTTTTGTTAACGAGTCAGACTGATGCTCGAACACTTCTGAGTATGGTGGTATTCTAGCTGATATGGACGAGTATAATGCTTAATTTGTAGTGTGTTATGAGCAAATGACTGACATTGTGGCCAATCAATTTTTTGCTTCAGAATGCAGCTCGATTGGACAGTGAGATAATCTATGACAGGGACTTTGACTACGATTACTTTGGATTCAAGACCCTGGAGAGGTCATACCTGTTGAAGGTCCAGGGGAAGGTTGTAGAAAGGCCTCAGCATATGCTGATGAGGGTTTCTGTTGGAATTCACAAAGATGATATTGATGCAGCCCTCAAAACGTATCACTTAATGTCACAACGATGGTTTACTCATGCTTCTCCAACACTTTTCAATGCTGGAACACCAAGGCCTCAAGTATGTGACTTGTTATTTAAGCTGTTGATTTGGTTGTCCATTTCATGCCGGGTTAAGGAGTTTAATGTGTTCATTTTATTTTGCAGTTGAGCAGCTGTTTCTTAATCTGCATGAAGGATGATAGCATTGAGGGAATATATGAAACCTTGAAGGAGTGTGCTGTAATCAGCAAATCTGCTGGAGGGATTGGTGTTTCTGTTCATAATATCCGTGCTACTGGTAGCTATATTCGTGGGACTAATGGGACATCCAATGGCATTGTACCAATGCTAAGAGTGTTCAATGACACTGCACGATATGTTGATCAAGGAGGGGGCAAGAGGAAAGGTAAATTGAGTTTCTTGTGCCTTTTATAAATTGTTTATAGTGTGGATTTCATGGGCATGATTGACTTTGTTTGTACTGTTTATAGGAGCTTTTGCTGTGTACCTGGAGCCATGGCATGCTGACATCTTTGATTTTCTGGATCTCAGGAAAAATCACGGAAAGGTATGATCAAAGAGTAGCAGATCTTTTCCGTATCATCTTATTATTGTTGGATGAAGTTTAATTCACCTCATTCATGTTTTCATCTGAATGAAATAAAATGTGTACAATTTGATCTCATAGGAAGAGAACCGTGCAAGGGATCTGTTCTATGCACTTTGGGTGCCAGATCTCTTTATGCAAAGAGTCCAATCAGATGGGACATGGTCTTTGTTTTGTCCTAGTGAAGCACCTGGTTTGGCTGACTGTTGGGGTGAAGAATTTGAGCGGTTGTACACCAAGTATGAAAGAGATGTAAGTTCACTTTGCTTTATGCTTGTTACCCTTCTCATTGCAAAACTTTTGTTATCTTGTGAATTATGTGTGAGATTCTGATTTTAATAACCCCTGTTACTTCGTCAGGGAAAGGCCAAGAAGGTTGTTCAAGCACAGAGTTTGTGGTTTGAAATACTAAAATCTCAGATTGAAACTGGAACCCCTTACATGCTCTTTAAGGTAAGCACTTTTAATATTTGAGATATGTTTGCATGTTCTGTTTCTGTTTATTCATTTAAAGTGTATGGTCTGTTATTTGTACAGGATACTTGCAACAGAAAGAGCAACCAGCAGAATCTGGGTACAATAAAATCATCCAATTTGTGCACTGAGATCATAGAGTATACAAGTCCAACGGAAACTGCTGTGTGCAATTTGGCATCAATTGCACTTCCACGCTTCGTTAGAGAAAAGGTATGCTGCTTTCCCCTCTTCTGATATGAATCATATGGCTCGTCCCTTATGTGACCTTCTTTGTTCTTACAACATTTGCCAATTGTCTCAGGGAGTATCATTGGAATCACATCCATCCAAGATTGTGGGAAGCAGAGGCTCTATGAGCAGATATTTTGATTTTGACAAATTAGCTGAGGTATGTGATTTTGTTATGTCATACTTAATTGACCAAACCTCTCCTGAGTTCATTGTATTCATGTTTCCAATTCTTCATATCCTCTATTACAGGTTACGCAAGTTGTGACTTACAATCTCAACAAAATCATTGATGTGAACTACTACCCTGTTGAGACTGCAAGGAGGTCAAATATGAGGCATAGGCCCATTGGAATTGGAGTTCAAGGCCTTGCAGATACCTTTATTTTGCTAGGCATGTCATTCGACTCCCCAGAGGTAAACTGTTAACACCTACAATAGGTTTACAGTTGTTCTTTTGCTTATCCATTTTTAGTTTAAGCCTAGTCCTTTTTAAGCTTGGATGGCTGAGTTTTCTAAATATTTTACTGGGATATGCATTTCAGGCTCAACAGTTGAACAAGGATATATTTGAGACAATCTATTACCATTCCCTGAAAGCTTCAAATGAGATTGCTGCAGTAGAAGGTCCTTATGAGACATATCCAGGAAGTCCTGTCAGTAAGGTATGCCGAAATATTTATCGAGAATTTTTTACTATAGCCATGCACTGAGTTAACATATCCTTCTAGGGTTTTCCGTTGTTTATGACCATTTACATGTTTGAAATTTTGCAGGGAACTTTGCAGCCAGACATGTGGGGCGTGACTCCCTCAGCTCTATGGAACTGGGACATTCTAAGGGACATGATATCAAAGAATGGAGTCAGGAATTCACTTCTTGTAGCACCAATGCCTACTGCCTCAACCAGCCAGATTCTCGGAAACAATGAATGCTTCGAACCGTATACTTCCAACATCTACAGTCGCAGGGTTCTGAGGTACTGCCATAGAAACTCAACAACTCATCTATTTTCAGTCATTCATGTTAATCTCACAATCTAACTAACTTTGCCTCTCTTTTTCCCAGTGGTGAATTTGTCGTAGTCAACAAACATCTTCTCCACGACCTGACCGAGATGGGTCTCTGGAATCCAGCCCTCAAGAACAAAATAATCTATGAAAATGGTTCCGTCCAGAATCTGCCCGAAATCCCTCATGACCTCAAGCTTATATACAAGTATGTGCAGAGATCTCAACTCCTACATGCCAATTCCTTCCATTCTCCCTCTCAATCGTTTTGCTCATGCAATTGCTATGGTAATATCAGGACTGTCTGGGAGATCAAGCAGAGGACGCTCGTCGACATGGCAGCTGATCGCGGTTGCTACATCGACCAGAGCCAAAGCCTTAACATCCACATGGACCAACCCAATTTCGGGAAGCTCACTTCCTTGCATTTCCATACATGGACCAAGGTATGCACCTCGAGATCAGCAAACCACACGTACATACAAATACACACTCCTCTCAATATCTCAAACCACTAAACTTGATATTTTCGAGTTCTCAGGGTCTCAAGACGGGAATGTACTATCTGAGATCGCGTGCAGCAGCTGATGCCATCAAGTTCACCGTCGACACTACTGATCTCAAGGTACATGAAAAGCCCTGCTGATGATCACTTTACAAACTATCCACCGTTCTTTCGTTTAATCGCGGTAGTCGCTAATGGTCTTGTTACACAGGACAAGAAGCTGAAAGTTGAGGAGGTTGAAGACGATGGCACCAAGATGGCGCAGATGGTTTGCTCTTTGAACAACCGTGATGAGTGCCTAGCCTGCGGGAGTTGAACAAACAAAGGCTAGTGACGTTTGTACTATAGCTTTGACACCATATCTTGTGCAAGAATGTTGGTTATGGTTCTAATGGTTTTTATTATTCTGAGTTCTTTAGTTTATTTACAGTAAGAGTAGTAGATGAGTGTGGGGAAGTCTTTCTGTATATAGCTCAATGTATCACCATGAGAGTTCTTTCGTAATGCGATTCAAGCTCGATCCGTTTTAACTCACTGTTTGGCGTGATTGCATGTTCTTCATTAATTTTTCGTAGTAATGTTACTAATAATTACACTTCCACCGGTATAATTCATTTCAAAATTTCGTATCTTCGTTATAGATGTCATTCGAACAAAATTAACGGTTAATATTAGAGACGGTAAATAATTTTGTATACGAAAGTCGGAAAAGTCTGATTTGTGTGCCATGGAAATTTACATCTTCATACCTACTGCTGCCGTTAAGTTTTTTGCTTTTGGCATAAAAACCCTGCGGTTAAATATTGGAAGTTACTCCGGTAAAAGCCCTAAAAGTTACTCCCACAAAAGAAAAAACCTTGTACAGGTCTCGCTAGCTCTCCCGGCGGCGGCCGTCGGCGTATCAACCCCAACGCCGGCCCAAGCTCTTCCAGAACAAACGTCTCTAATCTCCGACAAGTCAGTCCAAATTCCGCTCTTTTCTCAACTCGATCGTTTTCGTCGACTCGCTGCAAGTCACTCTCTTCGCCGGGGGCTTCAAATCGGATTCTCCCCCTGCTTCAATTAAGATCGTCGCCGGCGACCAGTGAGAGACGGCCCATCGTCCCTGCTGTTGTAATTGAGTTCCGCCGATGCACTAGTGCTGTACCATTGTGGAGTTGTATTAAGTTATTAACCTCAGATGTCAAGGCCCGGCGGCGGCGGCGGCTTCAAGAATAAACGTTCCTATGGTGCCGGTGGTTTTAAAGCACCACAAGATCCCTACATCTTGTTTCCTGTAAGTCTTTGTGTGTTTTCGTTTCTCTCTGTTTTAGTTTGGCTATCTTTGCCGTTGTTCCCACTTCCCAATCCCGCGAATTCTGAACTTTGAATGACTTGCATGGATGATTTAGTGCTGGAGAAGCAAAAGATTTGTTAAGCCCTTAGCCTACTTATTGCTTGAATTCTCATCACCTCATGGCGGTTCCTTTTTGGTGTTCATTCTGTTTTTTCCCCAATGGTTTTCAAAGATTCCCATGTTTCGTTCTTCTCCCTCTGGTACTCACCCTTGATGGGGAAACTACTGCAGGAAGTTAAATTGCCTGATCCGAAAAATGTGAAGGAGGAGAAGAACCTGGTTGTTGTGAATGCAAAGTTCCAAGCTTTCTGGAAAGCTTCTTGTTACTACCTAGAAGAAGCTACGGATGCTGGTCCAAAGAGTGAGTCTGGAGCTTCACCCCTAATCTATATATATATGTTTCTGCAGTAGCTGTATGTTTTATTGAGTTTTTCTCTTCTTCACCATCCTTCCTTGGTGGTGTTGTATTTAGAGAGCTGGAGCATGGAAGTAGAGAGATTCGCTGACAGGGGGAAGCCGAAGGTCACATCGAAGCGTAGTTCGCTCGATGAGTTTCTGCAGTTTGGATCTGATTATTTCCCCAAGGAACTTGTTGGAGGTTGGTTTTTGCAGTCTTAACCACAAACTTACGTGATAGTTGGTTGCTTTTTCTCCTTAATGAACTGCTTTTTGACACTCATCAGTGTATATGTGGGATGTGTGTTTTAGGAAAGAAGATTGTGAGGAGATCGAAGAAAGCGCGATGGGACCAGGGTAATGATGATTGCTTCTGCGATCTGCCCTTTTTCTTGTTTTTCCTACATCATGTGCACAATCTTGTTATCTTAGGTTCAGGAAGTTTTCCAACATATGCTGTGATGAGATTCCTTTGGTGCTGTTTTGCATTACACAACATGATGATTCATTGCTTTTGCAATGGTCTCGGCTTGTTTCTAATTCTCTTTATGCTTCTCTTTGATCAACCTTCTGATGAATGTCTAATGGTAAACTGATCTAACTGATTGTCTGACATGTCAGCTATGGATGCCCTTGAGACTCTTGAAGACAAAGAGGCGAAAAAGAAAGCCGTGGTATGTGATTATCTGGCCTCGGATGCAGTTTTCATCTTCTCATAGCTTGTATGCTTGCTGATGACTATGAATGCTGCTATTGATGCCTTGCTCCATCTAGGGTGGCCAGGAGAAAGAAGGTGAAGAAGAGGAAGAGGAAGAAGAAGTGGAAACATTCGAGGAGGAAGATTTCAGCGACGATGACTATAATCAGGTTAACAATAACAACTCATCATGCACATTTTTGCCTTTGATTTGGTTGATGAACTCTGCAACTTTTAGAACAGAGCTTTGTGTGGCACTCTGACCAGTCTCCACAATATTGCAGAATGAGTACTTCGACGACGATGAAGATGATTTCAACGTCGATGCTGGTGATGATGGTATGGAGTTTCTTTTCTCTTCTCTTCAACACCCACTCCCTCGCTTAAAATCTTGCTCTTCTGTCGTATGATTTTAACCAGAGTACTATTTTGTTATCTTCTCTTGCAGAGGGCCCTTTATATTGAAGGTTACAACGACGCACGTTCCTCCACTCGGATCCGTTCGTTCTACCATTGAATATAGCTCGAAGAACAATCGTAATCGTATTTTTTACAGGAGTCGGGATCATGTTAGTATTTGTGAGAGATTGAATAGAGAGCGTTTCAATGTTATGTACAAATTATCGTTCTATATGGTTTAAACAATGAGTTGGTTTCAATGAATATTATCAGTCATCATTCGCGTAACAAAACACTGTTTCTCATTCAACTATCACTAAAAACGCAGTAACCCAAAAAATGGTAAAAAGGAATTAAGGTAAATCACTAAAAACGCAATAACCCAAAAAACGGTAAAAAAGAGGAAGAAGTAAACTACTAAAATAACTAACTGCCCCCGTCCTCTCTGTGACGTGTAACCCTAAATTTGTTCCTCTTCGCGGCTGCCCTCTCAGTCTCTTCACTCTCTCCATATTCTGTTGTCGGCGTGTACTTTTGAGGGGAATTGACGCCGCCGCCGGTTATTGCAGCACGGCCGCCTCTTTCAGTCGCGCCGCAAGTCAGCCGCCTGGCCTTTCTCATTCTTGCTCTCGCCGTTACACAGCCGCCGTTAGCTGTCTGTCCGCGCCGCCTCAGTCCGTCACAACCCTCTGGTAAGGTAAATTCTCCCCACTCCTTCGTCGATTTTTTGATAGATTTCGGGGGCTGTGTAGCGCCTATTCCGGCCATATAGGAGTTGATTTTCCATTGGGTTCCTTGGTTTCCAGAGGCCCTGCAACTTCTTCTGAAACAGGGGAGCTGAAAGGGGAGGAGTGAGAAGAGGGGAGCGATGGAGCTTGCATTCGTAAATCCTTCCTCCGCTACATTATTCGCCGCTAACAAAGCTTTACCAAGCTTGGTTAAGCATAGTTCCATCAAGGTTCTCAGTGTCCGCTGCTCCTCTAGCTCAACCGCTGGAGCAGCTGCAGGTGGTAATTTTCTCTCTCTAATTTCATTGGTTTCCCAAATTGCGTGTTTTGTTCCTTTGTCGCCTGAAAACTTCATTGAAGGGTGTGTATTGAAGGTATTGTTTGTTGCTAAAGACTTCATTTTTAATGGTGAAACTGTTAGGTGTTGTGGAAAGGCCTTGGAAGACTTCAGATGCTAGGCTTGTGCTTGAAGATGGTTCAGTGTGGAAGGCCAAGTCCTTTGGTGCCACTGGAACCCAAGTTGGGGAAGTCGTATTCAACACCTCCTTGACAGGGTAAATACTCGAAACCCGAGTCCTCGTTCTTTGATTTTATTTAATTCCTTTGATTCATTGGTTTTATGCGTCGTATCAGTGGGGTGGGGAAATTTTGGTGAACTTGATCTGATTAAAGGAAGGGTTGATATAACACTTCACTTGTGGTGTGGTTCTTCAAGTAGTAAGAGAGTGTAGTCACCACGAAATCAGCTACTTACTGTGAGCTGAGGTTGACATTCGATACTATTAGTCTTTTCGTCGATTGGATATGCAAAGCTATCTGATGTTACTTCGTTTTTGTGGCCTGTATGTTTGAGGGGAGATGTGTGTAATTATCTTCATCTTCTGCTATAAATTGGCATCTGCAATTGCTTTTGTTGTATGGTGTATTGATTCTCTGATGTTCATTCTGTATAGGTATCAGGAAATCCTAACAGACCCTAGTTATGCCGGTCAATTTGTGCTGATGACGAACCCACATATTGGCAACACTGGTGTAAACCTTGGTATGTGGACCATCAACAAAGTTATGTTTATAATATCAGGAGGCATGGCTGCATCATTAACTTAAAATGATTTATTCGTAACTATTGGTCAAAAACACGGATCGATTTAAGTAAATTAAAATGATTTATTGAGTTAAGTTTACTGGGATAGTTGGTACTTAAAAAAATTAAAAAGCTTTGTGCTGAAGCCTGAAAGAAGTGTTTTGAATGTTCAAATCATTTGAAAGATGATCCTACCTGGTGAATTGTCAAACTGAACTCATATTAAACTTTCTGTTCTGTTGGTATATATATATTCATTGGTTGCAAATTTGTGAACTGTACACCATCCATTCAACGTGAATTTTTCTTTCTTGTTATCAGATGACGAAGAATCGATGCAATGTTTCCTTGCTGGCTTGGTAATCAAGAGCTTAAGCATATGGTACCCTTTATTTCGTCTGAGCTACCTGCTTCATCTGCTGGCTTATGGTTCTTGCTTACATTATATGACATTCTTTCGCAGCACCTCAAACTGGAGATGCACCAAAACTCTTGAGGATTATTTAACAGAGAGGAACATCATGGGAATATGTAAAGCTCTAACCATTGTCATTTTGCTAAAATTCGATCAAATTAAGTTGCTTGTTTATATTTTAATATAATCTATCCATATGTGCCTTTTGATTTAACAGATGATGTGGACACTCGTGCAATTACTCGGAGATTGAGGCAGGATGGAAGTCTTATTGGCGTGCTCAGCACAGAAGAAGTGAAGAGTGATGAAGAACTGCTTGAGATGTCCCGCTCATGGGATATCGTAGGTAATGACTCACCCTCTAGCCCTCTATTAATGATCTCAGATACTTGAGAAAAAGTATCGCTTAATTGTTTTCGCCATGTTTTGGCAGGTGTTGATCTAATAAGTGGTGTCTCGTGCACTGAGCCTTATGAATGGGTTGATAGAACAAAGCCAGATTGGGATTTTAATAATGAAGGAAGAGGAGAGGTCTTCCATGTAAGTGGTACTCCATGGGTTTATGTTCATATTTGCTTATGATAATCTTGTATGCTCTTTTGACGGTTAGGTTTTCCATGAATTCAAGGTTGTTGCTTATGATTTCGGGATCAAGCATAACATACTGAGACGCTTGGCATCATATGGCTGCAAAATCACTGTAGTCCCTTCAAACTGGCCAGCTTCAGAAGCTCTAAAGATGAACCCAGATGGAGTTCTTTTCAGCAATGGCCCAGGAGACCCATCTGCAGTTCCCTATGCCGTTGAAACAGTCAAGAACATAGTGGGTAAAGCTCCAGTTTTCGGAATTTGCATGGGTCACCAGTTGCTTGGACAGGCATTAGGTGGCAAGACCTTCAAAATGAAGTTTGGCCACCATGGAGGAAATCATCCGGTTAGGAATATTCGAGCTAACCGCGTTGAGATTAGTGCTCAGGTTAGCACTGCATATTAAACCGTTACTTAATTACCTTCAATATTCACAGAAACCAATTGGTTTTCGGTTTTGATCTTCCACGTTCGTCTCTATTTGATTGATAAATTATGACCCTGAATTTTTCTCCACTCCGATTCCATGACAGAATCATAACTACGCTGTCGACCCAACATCACTCCCAGAAGGTGTAGAAGTGACTCATGTCAATCTTAACGATGGCAGTTGTGCTGGGCTTGCTTTCCCTGCATTGAAAGTGATGTCTCTTCAGTATCATCCCGAGGCGTCTCCAGGCCCTCATGACTCAGATTCTGGTAACTAACTTTTCCCTCCCCTTCTCATTTCAGTCATAAGCCTGTGTCCCATTTGCTCAATATGCTGCTACTACCAAAGTAGTACTGTCATCGTCCTTACCGTTCCCTTCTACCGTAGCAATGAATTCACCATTTCCCTTTTTCTTCTTGCACCAGTCTTCGGAGAATTCATCGAGCTAATGAAGCAGTCCAAACAACAAGCATGAGCTACATTCCCTCTTGCACCAGTTACGCTGCATGCAAGTAGCAAGAACAGAAGTGGAGCTGTGTTTGCCAGTAGATCAGTTAGGTCGTTGATATATTAGTTACTCCGACAATATACTCGTAGTTGAGCTTCCTTCTATCTGAATCTTTGTATGACATAACCCGTAAACATGGCGGAAGATCAGAGATAAATGTTGTTTTGACAGACATGTTCCCTTCTACCGTAGCAATGAATTCACCATTTCCCTTTTTCTTCATCCATCAGTCTTCGGAGAATTCATCGAGCTGTCTGCCTTGCCATCACGATTCGAGTATGAATTTACCTTAGTTTCGACGAATGATCCCCTCGAGTTTACCTGCTGTCATTTTCAGATCACAGTTCAGAAAAACTCATTGCTAATAATGCCAATGAACATGAGTTTGTGTTCTGCTTATAATCGATGAGATGAAAGGTCGGTGGTTTGGTGGGGTTATGATCTCTCTGTCGCTAGACATTAACTTCTGTTTTAGTCGGAAGTTTGGAACCGGCCTTAGAGAAAAAAAAAACAGAACCCATTACCCAATAATGGTTCAAGAAAAGGACAGTTCAGAACCCTCAGAATCAAAACAGAGGAACTTTTTCCAAGAACCAGAACCGAATAATTCTTATTGGTATCGATTGATGTTGATTGTGGGAAAGAGTGAATTCCCCTTCTCTTAATACACAAGACACAAATTCAACCTGAAAATGACCCCCAATAATCAAGTGTAGTTTCTAAAAGGAATTCTGTGTTCTGTGTACTAGTAGTACTTGTGTGGAGAGAGTGACTTGGTACAATCCATTGTAATTGTAATATATGTATAGTTACGTATCCGAGTTTATATCTAAGTATGTCTTGATCGAGTCAACCCGTTAACTCCTAACCAGTTGTCGCTGCTCGATTAAGACGGGTTAGGGTTCTCGACTCAGTCTTCTTCTCCTTATTTGAGACCCATGTATATAAGCAACATCGTGAAAGATGGTATGATAAAAAAAAAACACTTAATACATATCTTCATGGACTTAAATCGTGTTTGTGGCCAAACCAAAGTACATCGATTGAGGACTCGTTCAGTTCATAGTTCTTTTTTTAATCAGCTCAACTCGTCTCGTAAATGGAAGTTGTAAAAAATAGATATGATTACTTACCGTTGCATTGCATGATTTCCTAGACAAATTAGTTTCCTGATTTCCCAAGTCAATCAAGAACTAATGTGAGATGTTATAAACCTAACTAAACCCAATAACTCGAATTGTTGAAAGAAAAGAATCATGTCACAAAGTGGATTGTAAAGGAAGTAAAAGAGAAAACCTAAGACCGAGTCCAAAAGCAAGGGAAGGTTTTTTCCTGCTGGTTGGGGCTCGACGGTGTTGAGTTTGGACTTTGCATTCTTGGACTAGTTCTCCCTGCATTTTGATTCAAGCTTTGTAGATGTCAATTTTGATATGACATGTCGTTTCGATGTGCGCCTCGATCCGTTATGTGTAGCATTGTCCATCTCGTCAGCAAGATTTGTGTCTTTCGTCTACACTCCAATTTTAGCATTGTCCATCTCTCAAAACATGGTATATGGGGTCCTGTGCAAACTTCAAACCCATGAGTCGGCTTTCGTTTAAGGGGGCGTGCAATTGGAAGTGATTAAGTATCATACATGGGCCTCTCCCAACAATTCAAGTTATTGGGTTTAGTTAGGTTTATAACATCTTCGCATTAGTATCGAGCCAACATTAGAATTTTTTTTTTTACCTTCGTCAATATAGTTAGTTTTCATAGCAAGGTGGAAGTGGGATTTTTTTTTCGGTCATTGTTTTCTTCATTAGGGTGCCATGATGGAACTCATGAATTAATTCATTAGAAGAACTTTTGCAATGTTTTTCAAACTTGGAGAGCTCCTTAGGGCCAAGGTTACATATACTAGTTTTGCATTTCTTTGAACAAACAAACAAAAGGAAAGGTGCAAAGAAAAGTCTAATACACAAAAGACGACGTCGTAGTTGATTGATATATATTTAAGACGATCATGCATGTGTATTTGTGAAGAATCTAAAAATAATGCATGGATTAGCAATGAATTTTAGCGGTGGATACCATACCATGTGCTTAAGAAATATGAGATATTGAGATTATAGAGATAATTGACATCTCGAACATTGAACACTCTAATACCATGTTAAAAGTCAGTTACTCTCAATAATTTAAATTGCTGAGAGATGTTCAATTATGGATCATGTATAACTTACTAACACACCCCACAAACGAAAGCCTATTCATATGGACTTGCAGTATATGCACAAGTCTGAATACCATGTGTTAAACAAATGTGGAAATTAAATCATCTGGATCCGAACATAAGACCTCTCGATCAGAAAAGACTTTGATGCCGTGTCAAGAAACCCAAATGATCCCAAAAAACTCGAGCTATTGAGAGAGAGGTTCAATTATGGATCTTGTACGCATACCATTTACTAAGGAGACGTACGTAATTAACTAAGTTTTACGTGCAAATACTTTTCTACTTATGCATTCCGTTTTTCAATCAAGCCGTTTTAAGCGCAGAAGCTATATATATGGACTTTTGACGTTTCCCCTGCAGTTCTTTTTTTATACATTTCTTCGACACATGCATGTTAGTTGCCAACGAATTTCGTCGTGGACGACGTCAGGATTTGTATGTCACAGTGCATTGCTAAGGAATGGAACGTAGTCAAAACATCAATTCTTTTGTTTTTTCAAGGAAGAGAGAAACCAATTTTTTTTTTTTTATTATATATATACCCATACGATTCATGAACATAACCACAAATAATTCATCCGAACACGCGTACATACTTATATTATCGAAAATTCTCCTATTATTGTATTGCTATAAAGGCTAATAACATCTATGAGTTGTCGATATATTATTAGAATTATATAGTCACAAAAATTAACGATATCCAAAAAGTATCCATATTATTAGAGTTAGATGCAAAGCTATTAAGGATTCAACTGGATCCTTGATAGAATCATCATTACAAATTTACAATTCAAACAAAGACAACATATCGTTGATTCTTGAAAAAAAAAAACTATATCTATAATGGTTGATCAATGAGGACTAGCTTTGCAAATTGCAAAGTCAAAGTTGCATGTATTATATATAATCACCCAATTACTAAACGAAATTAATTAATGTAATTGTGCAAATGTGCACATGCATTTTGGCCAGAATAAATAATAATCCACCTTATAATCAATTAGTTAATAATAATCTATATATAGGAATAAATCCAGTTATCTAACTTCTTGGTAGCTAATCTGTCCCCGACCTTACATGATCTGTTGACCAATCCCACCAACCAAAAGTCTCTTTGACCATTTAGTTTATTTGATGTAATGAAGTTAAATATCACAGATAAAATTACAACGACTACTAGGATTTTTATATATTTTTTGCCATAACAACGACTACTTGATTTGCTTGGTAAACTTGAAAATAGCAGTATTTAATTATACCAAGAAATATTGAGGAAAAATGTGTAATAGTATTAATTAATTATTAAACAAGAAGACAACTTTATAAAAAAGTTAATGTAGCTATAATCATGGAGGATGAAAATGCGTTGTTTCGTAGTTTATAGTTCTGCTTAATATTTATTAAGCAGAACGTTTCACACTCTAGCTAAAACAGTTGCTGAAAAGTTTTGTGCATTATCTTGCTCCGTTCTTAATAGGACAAGGGGATTTGTGTGCTTTGCTTTTTCTTCATCACGGGTTTGCTAAATCTATCGCCAAGCAGAGCAAACTTAGAACCAAACTAGCATGATATTCGATTCGATATGAGCTGGTCCAATAATGAATCATAGAAGACACGTTCTACAATTGAGATGTAATAAAATGAAATGATCATAACATTATTGTTTAAACACTAATTTGAAATAAAACTATCTATTGACTCTTCATTTTTTGTATTATGCGAGTAAACATTTTTCAGCCTTCATCATTGTTAATTCATTAAGGATCTCTTGTGTCATTTTATAACACAAATAGGGTTTTTAGAACACAAATATGATTTTAATGATTAATATACATGCATCATTGATATATACTTGAGAATATGACCAATGACTAGCACTAATATTAATTAATAATTTTTTTTATGATATTGTGGAATCGAAACCAAGTCACATTATATCCTACTCGGTATGGTCTGATCCAAATAGTGGTATTGTAAGGTGCAATCTGGTCCGGACTAAACCGTTGCACACCCGTAGCCCAATGGTCACGGTCAAAAGTGACAAAAAAAGTATTGTACGAAAGTATAGAGTAGAGAACATGCATCTAACACAGTATGTGAAGTTGTGAACCAAAATGAGTAAACGCTATAGCTAGTGGCCAAAATAGGGTTTAGATAGAATAGAAGCTTGGGTTCTTTTGCTCTGTTCTTTCTTATCTTTTTGGGTTTAGTTCATGGAACTATGGGCTGCCGACTGAAGAGAGTACTGGCAAGAAAGAGTCAATCTGCCTATGCGTTGACCTCGGCGGTCAACTCTATCAATAGTACAGAATAATGCAACCCTAGATCCCTCCCAAAAATCAATAACAATGCCATTGATTGATTCACACATGCATTTGCTTCCTTCACTACGTACGTCTATTTTCTTTCATAATCAACTTCCTTAACAACAACATTAAGCTTAAATTAATCGGTACGACAAGTAGTGTCATATTATGTTATGGCTAGTAATTTATCACTTCGGTGTTAATGACCACACACTCTAAGATGACACGTTAATTCGTACCGTCTCCGCTTTTTATTTTTTAAGAACGATTGATGCTACTCAAACGTTTTATGCACCAGCATTCCTACCATGTTGGCTACCACTCTTTCGCTCGGTGAAGCACCGACCAGAATTGACTGAAACCCTTCAAAACCGACCTAATTAGACTAGATATATATGATCACATGCATGCCAATTTTGTTGTTTGTAATATTCATGTGCTTCTCTTCTCCTTTTACATCATTCAATGCATTTTTCCATTTGTTTCGATCAGTCGGCAATTTGGGGGTGTTGCTCTGTTTTCATGTCAATCTTCTGCCACCCTTTTCCTTCTTCTAATTGCATGGTAATGGGAATCTGACCGTGGTGTTATAAAATCTGTAATAGAGAAACGTGACAAAATTGGAAATAGACTAGTTGGGTGGCAGCCAAATGGCACGGCATATGGGCCGACAACAACACTCCTGTCGGCACCAATGAAGGAGTGACGTGGAACCAAGTTCATAGCATTTAGGAGGAATGCATCTGGTTCGAATTTAAAGATATGGATGAGTTCATCATGAAGTTTTTGTTTCTTGATTTGATCAATGTTAATTTTTCCCCACTATTGTTTTGTAAAGCTGTATTAATTCATTTAGATAATTAGATTGAGTTTACGAGGATCGAATTGGCTAGTTTGGATTAACAAAAAGAAAGAGTTAGATTGACTTATATCGAATTCATAATAAATTTTATTCTCGAAATGAAGATAAAACATGATGATTACTCGAACATATTATATTTTTTTTGTGTTACAATTTTAGGAGTGGTTGTTTCCATGTGGATGGTGTTTATATAGGTGTATTTTTTTTTAGTTTGTGCCCACTGTAATGAGAAAAACAAGAAATATACTGTTTGTCACGACTGAGATAAGAGATTAAAGTTTCTCTACGTAATCCAATTACTAAGGCTGGTACAAGGTCTCATACTGCATTTGCTTTTTAGTTCGGATTCTGTTATCAATATCAGGAGGAACATGTTTTCGCTACGATTATCAATCTGAATACCGCGCTTAAAATACTGATGATTTAATGTTATATATGAATTATCGCTCTTTTGATACGAAAAGTTCGCTCCGACGTTGAATTTTTTTCGCAAGAAAAGGTAAAAAAAGAAAAGAAGATAGGTGACAATTGAGAATCGAAATAGGGATTAGTAGGTCTTATTAGTCATCATGATTTCTGTTTGGATCTTACTTACCAAGTGGGTGTTATATAAATTATCGTCGTCACCAAAAGTAAAACCATTGACAATACGAGTCTAGTTCAGCAACTTGCTCACAGCTCGGATTAATCTCATAATCAATCAAGTTTCAACCCTCCTATGGCTTCCCGCTTAAGATGAAAATGAAAAAAAGAACCCAAAACAAAAAGGAACTTGGTTTCCCAAGTTCACACCCAGTCCTACAAACCCATTTTGACCACCATGAATGGTATAGAAAGAGACACAGAAGGAGAAAGAGAGGGAAAATTCACAAGTAAGAATATTCTATTCCTTCACCAATAAACAACTCAATTTGATAGGATATGTATATATATATAGCCTCTGAAAGTAGCCAGAGGTTGAGTCTCCCTTATTTTAATAATCTTTCGCCGCTCCTTTGTTCGTTCTGGAATTCTTGCTGCTGAAGAATACCACCGAACAAGCAAACAGAGGAAGAAGAAAAAAAACAGAGGCCGACTCAGATAGCTTGAACCGCCTCAGAATTAATTCTACCGCTGTAATCAAGTCGGCGGGAACGAGAGATTTAAAGGGTTTCCTTCCTTTCTTACGTTCATTCATTCATTCACTCCAACCAAAAAAAAAAAAAAAAAAAGAAGCAAAGATCCCATTTTTATTTCCCCTGTTTCTTGCTTCCCCTGTTTTCCACCATCCCCTGTTTTCCTCTTTGCATGGTTGTGGGTTCGTTGATATGCACCCTGTACGTGATTATAGTAATAACGGAAGTAAGAGGAAGATGAAGGAAGAAGAAGAAGATGATGGGAACGGTGGCGGTGAGCTAATTGGTCCGCCATTAATGGCGGAGGAAGTGGTGAAGAATACTCCCAGGCACATGCTGATGTCGACGGAGAGCGAGATGGAGGCGATGGTCTCCGCTTTGACCCACGTCGTGGCTTCCGGCGGTGGTGGAGGAAGTGGTGATCAATTTCGCTACGAGAATGATGGGTTTGGGTTATTTGGAGCTCCTCCTTTTCTTCAACAACATAATCAATATCGTCATGTCGATTTTCTACTTTCTCAACAAGCTGCGGCACGACCTTCGCCATCTCCATTAGCTGCACAAGGTAGCTTTTTTTATTTCTCGAGCACATCTAACTACGTCTAAAAACTAAAAAGTACCGATGATTCTGGTTACGGGTTGAATTTGTACCGTAATGTCAGAACATTAAGTTTATTTTTGTACTATAAAATTATTTGTATGAAAATTATATGTATAAATTCAATCCGAGTAAACGTCCAATGTAATTTAAATTTGTACAAAAATATACTTATGTATAAATTGAAGAACGATACTTGTATCTTAACATTGAAATTACAAGCCATAAATGATACAAACTTAACTTGTACTTCGTATTGTACCATAAAAAAATGATACGAAAAGATCCAAATCAAATATGGATCAATTTTAAATTTACATGTTCAAATTGTATCATGAATTTAAATTTGTAAGGAAATGTATATGATGTGTGTAGTATGTACTGATATTTCTCTACACCACAGGTGGCACATTATTCAACATCGCTACCCCTACATCGCTGCCGCCGCCGCCATCAGGAGCAGCGCCGATGACGAGCAATAGTACAACCACGGTGGTGTACGAACACACTCCGACCCCATCGTCCGGCCACCACGGACCGGCAGCGGCAGAGGAAGGCAGCAGCGGGAGGAAGTACAGGGGAGTGAGGAGGCGGCCATGGGGGAAATGGGCGGCGGAGATTCGAGACCCGTTCAAGGCCGCCAGAGTGTGGCTGGGGACGTTCGACACGGCGGAGGCGGCGGCCAGAGCGTACGACGAGGCCGCATTGAGGTTCAGAGGCAGCAAGGCCAAACTCAACTTCCCGGAGAACGTCAAGCTCCGGACCATCAACACAAGCAGCACCACGAGCAGCAGCAGCGGCGTGACTACTGCTGCTGCAGTTCCTCATTATGCTCACCACCACAACAACAACAACCAGACAAGGTTCATGAGCTTGTTGAACATGAACCGCGGCGGCGGCAATCGGCAGCAGCAGCCGTCGAATTCGACTTCTCAGCTGGTGCTGGGAGTCGGAGGATACTACGATCATCATCATCATCAATCCTCGTCGCAGCTGTCTGATCAGGCGTCGTCGACGTATCTCGACCAGCTGCCAATGCAGGCGTATTACCCTCTGCTGCCGGATTTCCAGCAGAGTTCGCCGTGGCCGGCGACCCCGTCTTGTAATAGTGGTGGCGATTCTCCTTCAGGATAGTGTAGACTTCTGCTGCTTTCCTTTTTCTTCCTTAGCTGACCCAGCTGGCCCGAGTTGGTTTTTGTTCCAGAGAGTAGAAAAGAAAATGTAAGATGAAAGTCGTTTCGATTCGATCATAAGAGCCATGGTTTTCTCAAGTTCTTCCCGCTGAGCTATGGTGTAAATATAATAACGAACGAGTCGAAGCGTAATAATCAGAGTCGTGCCATTAGCTCTAAAACTGCGTACTAAGGTGCGCGAATCCGGAAAAGTATACAACAAGTTTTGCCTGACTAATGTCTCACTAGCACATCCCCTGACAAACAAAAAAGGCAATCTAACTCCAGGAAGAAGGGGCGGAACTGAGCAGGCCGCCATGCATGAATCAATCATCGTCCTGGTCAGGAAAGGAAGAACATTCTTCTGAGAGCGAGCTGCGGACATGGCCAAACTGCGAAAGCTAAAGGCGTCAAGTTGGGTTTCATCTCATCATAAAGGTAAAGAGTGAAATTAGCATAAAAGGAAAACAGGGTTGAGGACGCGTACCTGGAAATTTTAAACCACTGGTTGGTTAATGTTCTTGTCAGACTTTCAGGGCGGCTTTGTGAACCATGGTTTCTTTGTGGATTTGATGGCAGCTCTTCTCGACGAGATCGAGCAGCTTCTCCAAGTTCACGGCCCAGGAGTTGAGGATGTCGTTGCTGTCTTTCGCTACTTGGAAGCTGATGACTCCCATCGGCCTGTCGATCTTGGCGATCAGTGCCTTGGACACCACCATCTCCGAAAGGTGCTTCTCCGTTTCCTGAAATTCAATCGGGCAGACCAAAAAATCAAGGGAGGGTACTTGCAGCAAGTGAAGATGTAATTCGCCGAAAGCAAAGTGTTCTACGACAAGTTAACTTAAATTATGCAAACAGTGGGCGGTAAAATGCACATGCAATGCAAACCAGTTTATTTTGCTAAGGAAATATAGCAAAGGAAATACAAATGCTTACTTGAATGCTGAGACACAACAACTCTGCCAATCTCTTGACGGTAATCCTCGAGTAATATTTAGAGACAACCAGGATATTCTGAAAGAAAAAAGGAATCACTCGTCATAAAAAAAAACTTCATCATGAGATGCGAATTTATTCATTGGCATAAGGTTAGACGTGAGAAACTTACATGTTCAATTACTCTTTGCCTCAAATCTTCAGCTGCTTTATCCACTAAAGAACCTCCAAGCAAATTCTTCTCACTGTCGAACTCTTCCTTGTAACTATCCCATAGGGAAGTCCATTGAACGACCTCCATCGTGACCAGTTGTTTCAACAACGTCCTGTGAGAGAACGACATCCGTCATACATCAGTATTTCGGCTGCTCACTCGTCAAAGTTAGTTGAAAAGCGAACATTACATACTTAAACTGGGGAATTTCAGAGAGGTTTTTGTCTTCCAGGGTGGAATTGAGAAGACTCGACTGCATCGGATCATGTGGTGCCAAAACCAGGTACCAGCAGATTTTCCTCAGGACCTGTATTACAGAACCAATCCATTAGAACAGTCTGGAAGATGGAGCACAAGAATCAAGCGAGCATAAAAAGTGTAGCCAAACTGTTACCTGTGTCCACTGGGCTGGATCTTCCTTCACGGCAGGAATCTCATATATTGACTTGTAGCAGCGGCAGATCTCGAGGTACTCATTGTTATGGGAGTAATACCTAGAAAAACCAGACAATACAAATGCCATCCCATGGAAATTAAAAAGCAAATATGATGTTACAATGAAGCAGTTCTAATTCTTAGATATAAACAAATGCATCAATCAGAAACTACGGATCAAGCCTCTAGCCCAGCAGGTTAAAGTAAATTTGCAGTATATTATATGCTAAAGCAAAAGATTCAGATGGTTCAAAAGGGTTCCCAAAGGGGAGGGGGGGCGCAAAGAAGAGGTGGGAATAACACATTATTCAGGCCGTGTTGAGACGAAAACAACTTTTTACTATCGCTCCTTGACAATTCAGACAGGAAACATCACAAAAGCACGTCCAACCAGTTGCCACAACTAACTACAAAAGCAAATTATGAGCAGCCAAGGGAAACCAGTTTGCACGATTCAAGAAATTATGCAAACATCACAGGTTCCAGGGGAGATATGAAACGGGGAGAAACTACAAACCTTATCATCAATTCATAGTAGATCCGCTTCAGCTCCAGCAGGGATGGAATATCAGCAGGAGCCTCTTCAACAACATTATCACCTTCCTTAGGCTTCTTCTTCGTCTTAGAAGTATCGACATCAAACACCCTTGTGCTGATTTTCCTCGACAGAATTTGAGCACGGATATAATCTTGCCTGTCTAAGCATAAACGAACCTGCAAAAGAATCAATTAGGGTAACAGTCCTAATACATGAAGCATAAGATACTACCACACAGGCATCTTGATAATATACAAAGCATTGATGAGCACCATTCATAACCCCCCCCCCCCCCCCCCCCTTGTAATTATATTTTTTGTTAAATCCAGGATTCGACAAGAGTTATTCCATCAATGGGGCTGACGGATCAAAGTGGAAGCTGTAATGCAACACTTACTTGTTCAAGTATGAAGGCAATCTTTTCAGTCTTCGCCATAGCACCAAATGTTTCAACCTGGAAGATAATTGCGCCAAACAAGTGTCAGAAGAAAAAAATTGAAAAAAGAAGTGGTCATTTTTACACAGAAGAACGGAGTATTATTCTATGTACACAAACTTACTGCAACTTCTTGCATCAGATCAGCAGCTTCGGCTATAAGGCCTTGTTCTTCCTTAATCTTGGCTAGTTTCTTTACCAAGCGTGCCCTCTCAATTTCAACATAAATCTGAAGCACAGCAGAGTTGTTAAACAAAGAGGAAAAGGAACCCTCCGCTCACAGTATATAAGATGGCACTCTCCTGTCATATAAAATCTCACCTTCCCAGCAGATACATTGTTCAGGGTCTTAATGAGTTCTATGCGGGTTTCAACATCTGGTGTCTGATCAATATACTGCATTGCTTGCTGCACCATTGCAGATACAGCCTGTAGGAAACATGAAAGCCTGATAAATACATGTCCTACCCAAAACCTTTGAGAGCAATAGTAGGTATTACCAAAACTACGCTGGCACAGACAAAGAGCTCTTCCAAGAAAACCTTTAGAAAACTTTCCTACATAGACTACTACAACTAGAATCCAAAATAAAACTTGTTCTGCCTGAAATAACGAAGCCAACTGGTTATTCCCCATCCAAATCCTAACCTGAAAAACCCTACGAGTCGTACATAGGTTTGAAACTTTCGTATACAAATGAACCATAAGCAGGGAAATACTCCAATCGCTAAACTGAAGAGTTAAGATCCCAGGTCACCTAAAGAAGTAAGATCCCTCCTACTCCGTTCTTCCAGAACTAGACCTCGCTTCCAAGCAACAGTCCAAGTCATTCAGGAATTTACATGCTGATCCAAACATGTAAGAGTAATACACACTGCTATGCTCGTTGATACAAGAGCGATTGTTGCACAGAAAATCATCGCATGAACATATCCTATTAGCTTCTGTCATGACATCAACGAATCTACCAGCAAAACAATTAAGAATTAAAATGGCAACATTCATCTCACAAGAAGCCCCAAGTCAAAGGAAAACAGAGGCCTAATGTATGACCTGACGAGCTAACCACAGCCAAACAAAGTAACAGTAACTATGCAAGGCCCCAATGACAGCCAAGTCCCCTTCCAGCTGAAGCAATTGCGGAAAATTTTGGCTCCTAGACCAACAAATTCAGCTAATACAAACACTAAATCTTTACTCCGAGCAGAAACACGAGCCTGCAGCTAAATTCCACTAAGTTCTCAATTTACCTGCTTGAGCTGACCGCGCTTCTTAGAGAGGATCAAAATCTGGTCGTTCAGCGACTTCCAGTCCTTAGCCTGGAAGCACAGCTCCAGAATTTCGGTGACTGCCTGCCTCGTGGCGGCGACCTCGCCGGCGAGCCTCGCCTGCTTCTCCGCATTCTGCAGCCGCTCTATCGCCGCCTCCAAATTCGCACTGCCGTCCTGCGATTCGCACAAAAAAAAAAGGGAAGAGAATATCAAACGACGGAGAACGAGAACCGGCGCTCCAATCGAGAGATAGGAACAAGCTATAGCTCTCAGATCTGTCAGAAGCGCGCCGAGCTCTCACCATTCTGAATCGGATGGAAGCTCCGATAGACTGTAGATTGACGATGAAAAGCAACCCTAGAACTGGAATGGAGCGAATCGGAGTGTTTTTTGCTGGTTTTCTATGATTTTTTTGGTATAGATGGGAGTTTTTATTTTGTTTTAAATTTTAAACCCTCCCGCAAGAAACCTTCTTATGCTGAAACGGGCCCGTTTGGTGTGGACAAAAACATTGCCCACCGATTTTTCAAATAAGCCATTGGACAATGTGGTATTTGGTAGTTTAGTCCTTCTAAAGATCAAACGACCTTCAAGAAGGATATAACTCATTACTTGATATCAAATCACATCCATTCTTAAACCAAGCACAAGTCAACTAAGAAATCATGCTTATACATAGAGAGTTCCACTCGAAATCAACTCTCGAAAAATTTATGAACGATACGCTTTTTTTACGGATATCTCACATGTACGAGACTGAAAAACAAGTTTAACAACAAGCATGCATGAATTTCGACCTGGTTATAGATTATTCAGAATGTAATTAAGTAGCATGGTGGAGGATCTAGGTCTTCTAGTAAGGTACAAAAGAGTCTTTGGGTGAATAAGGCTTAAAAATGGCTTGCATCAAGTAACTAGGTATCTCCTTAGTTTGGCCACAAAGGAAGCACATTTTGCTTGTGTGTTAGCAAAATAGATTATACATATGAAACAAACACTACAACCCATCCTAATGGCTCATGAGTAGGGGTGGCAGTTTGGTTATTTCGGTTATAACCGGTAACCGATTGGTCGGTTATCGGTTAACCGGAATAACCACCACCCCTACCGAACACCGACCGAAATCGACTTC